TGGTTATTTCTTTCACCTCTTCCCTTGTGCGATTAGGATTCGATGAGCTCTAACTTTTATTCTTTTACCCGATATTCATTAGTTTATTATCTGATAAAATTAGTTATAAATTATTTGCTATTACAGGTTAAAATTTAGTACTCTTTGTTTCATATTAGATAATATATTTTTCTTTTTAGTTTGTTCCAAAATAAATGACACGTTTCTAAATTTGGATTAATTTAATTTTAAACTCTTCATTTTATTCATTTTACCCTTAATGAGAAGCTTTTATAACCACACAAATATCATGGCCCCACAAAGTTTTTACCCACTTTTAAGACCACAAATTTCAAATTTCTTCTTCTTTTTCTTAAACTTCGTGCCGAGTCAGACTACCTCATCTAAATTGAAATTGAGAGAGTAATATTGCAAATATAAATATTACGGAAAACGTCCAAAATTATCCTTATACTATTGGAAAGAGATCAATTTTGTCCCCTGTTGTTTTCTGTGCCTACAGTATCCTTCACGTTAACTTTTTGGGCCAAAAATGCCTCCAAGCTAAATGCTCTACACATAACGCTTTTAGACCAATTTAAATATTACTAGTCTTAGGATACACGCGTTGTGTATGTACCCATGTTAATAAAAATAAAAAATTTAAAATAATATAAATGGTATATTTAAAAGATATTTGTGATAAATAATAATTAGCAAAAATATGCTTTCCAAAGATAATTCTTTCAACCCACAGTAATTAACTTTTTCCAAAGCCAAAATTCTCATTATCTTGTGATAAATACGTTTTCTTAGCTTTTTGTATTGATGTTAAATTCTAGGACATATTACGCAAGTTGATGTTACAATTATATTTTTTTTATTAGGCTAATATGTTATTTGATGATTTGTATTCTGCTTAACGTCTATCAGCAATTTTGAATAACTGAAAAGAATTAAAATTGCTAGCATTTAGCCACATGAAAATAAAAAGATGAAGAAAGAGAGAAGAATAGTCCAAAAAAAAGTATGCCCAATACCTTGCTTTAAATTGATCTAGTCTTTGGAGCCAGATTTCACTTTTCTTTTTTTTAAAGAAAGCACAAAACGAAAAAAAGAAACTAATAATTTTTCAATACTGATCTACACCAAACAAGGTTGATGGAAAACCTCGAGAAGACATAATATGCCGCCGATCTCGAGAAAATTTTCAATGTTTATTATGATTTATAAAAGTAAAATCATACTTGATTTTAAACTTTTAACATTAGGTATTCATAAATTTTTCAAATAAAAAAAAAATAGAATCTTAATTTTTAGAAAAATAATAATATAACTATTCTTAATGTGACGACCCGACCCGTCGTCACGTGAGTTACCGCCCCGTTTTCCCTATGTTATGCTTCCTTATGTTTCATTATCAGTATTTGATGTGTTAGAGTTGGTTTGGAATGATTTTGATAAGAAATGAGACACTTAGTCTCTTTTAAGAAGGCTTAAGTTGGAAAAATCAACCGGATGTTGACTTTTGCGTTAGAGGGCTCGGACTTGAATTCCGGTGATTTGGTTAGCTTCGGCGGATGATTTGTGACTTGGGAGTGCGATCGGAATTGATTTTGGAGGTCCGGTGTAGAATTAGGCTTGAATTGGCGAAGTTAGTATTTTGGCGAATTCCGGTTGATAGGTGAGATTTTGATCCGAGGGACAGAATGGAATTCCGAGAGTTGCAGTAGCTTCGTTAGGTGATTTTGGATATGTCTGCAAATTTTCAGGTTATTCGGACGTCGTTTGGTTGGGTTTTTGATCGAAAACGCATTCCGGAAGTTTTAGAAGAACTTAGGCTTGAATTCGATGAGAAATGATGGTTTTAGTGTTGTTTGAGGTGTTTTAATGATTGGAGCAAGTTTGAATAAGGTATTGGATCATGCTTGTATTTTTGGTTGAGGTTCCGGGGGCCTCGGGGTGATTTCGGATGGCTAACGGGAAGTTTTGAACTTAAGAGATTGCAGAACCTGTGCTGCTTCTGGTATTTTCGCTTCTGCGAAATTGGGACCGCAGAAGCGAGAGGAGAGACGCAGAAGCGGCAGGGACCGCAGGTGCGGAGTTGGTGACCGCATCTGCGGAGTCGCAGATGCGACAGGAGGACCGCAGATGCGGTAATTGAGTTCTTATGGGGATCCGCAGATGCGTTAGTTTTTCCGCAGAAGCGGGAGTCGCAGAAGCGGTTATTAAACCGCAGAAGCGGATATTTCTGCAGAAGCGGTGCATTGAGCGCAAAAGCGGGAGCCGCAGATGCGGCCATGGAGCCGCAGATGCGAAAATAACTGGTCAGAATAGTTTTATTTCCCTTCGCGAATTTTTGAAAGGGTTTCATATTTTCACTTCGGGCTTGGAGAATTTGGGCGAGTTGGAGGAGAGAAATCAAGGGACTTCATTGAGGTAAGAATTTCTAAACCTAAAACACGATTTTATGGTGCAAACACATGAAATTAGACTGAAAACTCAAGGATTTAAGGTCAAAAATGGTGGTTTAGGGCTTGAAACCTAAGAGAACAAAAATGGGAATTTGAGGGGTCATTTGGACTCCGATTTTGGTGTTCTTTATATGTATAGACTCGCGGCGAGGCGAGGAATCCGGTGATGTGAATTTTATAATTTTTCGAGAAGTGGGCCCGAGGCTCGGGTTTTTGCCAACTTCGTGATTTTCGATGTTTTTCGAGTCTTTTCGATTGGGTTATATTCCCTTAGCATATTATGACGTATTTGTTGTGGTTTTGGTCAGATTCGACGCGCGAAGAGGTGAATTCGAAAGGCAAGGGCATAGCAAGCTAGGACTTTGGCCGGCTTGAGGTTAGTAATAAATGTAAATGCTGTGTTGAGGGTTTGAAACCCCGAATTTGCACAACGTAGTGCTATGTGAGGTGACTTGCACGCCGGATAACGGGCGTGGGGTAGAGCACCGTCAGGGATTGTGACTTGGTCCGTCCCGCTTAATAAAATTACTACCTATTTGTTTGTAGTTTTGTGATATCCTTATAAAAATGGATTAACTGTCATAATTGGGCTTCGTGCCAACTACTTGAATCCTTGAGGGATTATTTTTAAATGGTTTCTTACCATATTTATAAATATTAAACTCAGTCCGGGTATTCGATACTGTATTTGAAAACTCCGCCATTTTCTTAAAATTTGAAATTAAGTTAATATTTTTAAATGAAGTTTGGGCTGAATATTTTTATACTATTGTGTGATTTTTGGATTGAGTATGGGATCGGGCTGCACGCCGCAGCAGTATTATAATGATATTGATATGAGGCCAAGGGCCGATTTGATGCCACGAGATGGCTTATTATTGCGCTTGGGCCGTAAGGGGCCCCTCCCGGAGTCTGCACACCCCCAGTGAGCGCCATCGACGTTAAATAAGTGGAGCGGGCTGCACGGCCGTAGCGGGGTACTGAAGGTACCAGTTTATGTGTTGCATTGCATACTTGATTGCCATTTACTTATTTATCTGTTGTGATATTCTATAATTGTTTTTCATTAGTTTATTGAGTTGATATTATTTAGATTGAGCTGCCGTAATTATAGCTTACTTTGTGCCTGTCCAGGATTTCTTACTCTCAACCCTTATTTATGTTTATTACTTTCTGGGTTGGAAGTACTCACAATACTCCCTGCACCTTGTGTGCAGATTCAGGTACACCACAGAGTGAGTGAGGACTTGTTTAGCGGAGCAGCATTTATCCGGGAGTATCGAGGTAGCTGCATGTCGTTCGCAGCCTTGATCTCTCCCATCCATTTTTATCCTTTTATTCG